TCTCAAAGCGAATCAATAACAAAAAAAGAAAACGAATCAGAAACTAGGTACCTAGTTTTTGGAAAAATTAACCGGAGACCTAGTTTTTGGGCTCGTATTCGGTTATTCGAATAATTTATTCGGTTTCTACCCAGGCCTAATAGCTAGCTGCTGCTGCTGCAGGGAGAGGACGCATCCCGTCATTGATTTGAACACCTGCGTCACAATGTTGGACTTACTGATTTTCGCAGGGACATTTCTTATTGTTTTCCTTGTTGTCATAAAATGGTTCTATCCGGTTCGTATGTTAGATCACTATATTGTTATAATAATATTAGTCTATATTATGTTCTGCCAAGTGCATTTTTTTTTTACTTGATCAGAATCTAGATCTATATTCGCATAACCAACGTCATCGTGCCAGTAGGCCTAGATTTCTATGCCTAGCCTAGACGGTACTGTAAGTACAAAGGCAGGCCAAAGAACAACTTAGTGAGACTGTCAGTTCGCTTACAGGCTGAAGAGAATCCCGCCGGGACGGATGATCACTCCCCCCACCCTCCTTTTCCAAAATATAAGAAAAGAAAACAATCAGATAAAAAAAAAACAAATTAATAGATAACTAAATAGATAAATAGATATGTATATGAATAAATAAGTATATGAACGAATAAGCAAAACAATAATTAATTAATTAACTATTCTTCGTCGAGGTGGAATTAGTCGCTCGACAAATTTCGGACATATGGAGTAGATCTAGGTATCAACTTTGTCATTAAGTCTTTCTCTCGATTTAAAATTTTTTTTTTTATCTTGAATTACCTTGACCTATCTTCCTATACCTGTCTTGAATAGAACACAAAATATTTGCGATTGAAAGAAGGTGGGTTCTCTGTTGTCAAGGATAAAAACAAATAGTAAATGGCCTCCAAGTTTGGTGGCTTCTGAAGCTTGAGTGTCCTTTGAAACTGCACAATTTACTTTTTTTGAGTGTGATTTTAATGAACTCTTTTTTTCTCGCAGTAAAATCCACTCTGAATTCCTTTTTTTTACGGTCATAAAAGGTGATTTCTTCAATTTCAGTTTGTTGACGAGAGCCTGATTTCACAATACCTCCTCCTCCCCCC